AGCGCTGGCGGATCGGAGCGGGGAGGGGGGAATCCAGCCCCTCCCCTGTCATGGCAGAGAGCCGTGACAGGATTGAGAGGTGAGCGAGCTCACCTCCCGAACTACTGAGCCGACCTGTGACAGTCTCATCGTCACAGGTCGGCTAGAACTATGAGGTGAGTGAAAAGCACCCCCCTCATAGCTCTCCTTTAAATACATCGCCTTTGCATTTAGACTTGTAACATTGTATAATTTATCTTTATGATCTATATTATTTGTATTTTTTTTGTATATTCTTTATTTAAAAGATTTTACAATACAAAAAAACAAAAAACACTCAAGAAATAGAACAAGTATAAAAGAAAAATAAACATGTCGATATGTATGAATATTGCTCCAACCAGAGCAAGAAAGAAATATAAAGAAACATCAAAGTAAAGTGAGGTCGTCTCCTCCTTCCTGGATCAGCAAGTGTAAAAACCCCCATGTATGATCTATATTATTTTTTTTAATTAACCTTGTAGCCTTGAATATGACTTTTTGGTAATCTATGAATGCGGTCAATGATTGTCTCAGAATGATGGACATCAGGGAGGATTACTTTGAGCATTTCCCGTGCATATTGGTGCAGGTCAGCATTGCCAACTGATTCAGGGATACCTCTAATTTTGAGGTTGTTCCTGCGAGAACGGTCTTCTAAATCCGCCATCTTTGCCTTAAGCCATGTGAGTTCATCTTCCTTGGCATTGTGAGAGTCCACCAGGTCATTGAAAGTTGAGGCAAATTCCCCCATCTTAGTTTCAATATGTGAGACCCTATCACCCACTTGCGTCAAATCTGCATCAAATTTTCTCATCATTGACTGCATATCAGTATGTAGCGAGCCCCTCAGGGACATAAGCATGTCTTTTTGTAAAGCGCCTGTGTTTGGCCTGCCGAGGAAAACCCAAAGTTGAAAAACACATTGGTTCCTCCATCTTGTGTTTAGTAGATGTTGTCTCTCTAAAGCTGGCCATATTCTGTTAGAATTTTAGCCGGTTATGAAATTTCAGCTGGAATTCTAGCCCCGGGTGGTCCTGCCCACAACACCCGACTCAACAAAAACTTTAAATGAAAAATCAGAATTGTTGTATGAACAGTGATTGATGTCAGTTAGCTACAGTCACTGTTTGGGTATTCTGTCAAAACACAAAAGCCTGCAGGGGAGATTCCTCCACCCACGCCGTTTAGCACGCAGGCAGTGTCTGAGGACATGAGATCCACACATGTGACAAGAGACCTGTAGCTGGGAACAGGCAGAGGAGGGTAACTAACAACACAAAAGGTGTTCAAGGTCTTATCGCTACTGTTTATTCTATTTGTAAAGCATCCACAGCTTGAGGGGGAAAAACCTGTCCCCTGCCAGCAGGCTGCAGAGAAGGACCCTGTCTTGTAGAAGCAATGGTCTCTCTGCAAAGGTCCAGCACACTCCTTTCTGCATCAGACCTATAGCAATGCATGTGATGCAGCCTGACTGCATAACAAGTCAAAAAAGAAACATGAGGCATCAACTGGACTTTCAAATTAAAGGAGAACTATGAGGCGAGTGCTTCTCACTCACCTCATAGTTCTAGCCGACCTGTGACAATGAGACTGTCACAGGTCGGCTCAGTAGATCGGGAGGTGAGCGAACACATATCGGCGTTCGCTCACCTCTCGATCCTGTCACGGCTCTCTGCCGTGACAGGGGAGGGGCTGGATTCCCCCGCTCCGATCCGCCAGCGCTGACTGGCAGAACGGACGGGGGAGGGGGCAGGGAACAGCTGGCTCTGCCTCTAGATAGGCAGAGCCAGCTGTCACTCACGCAGCTGGGAGGATCTCGACATCGATGTCGGGATCTGTTCCGGCTGCGGCGTCTCAGTAGCTGTAGCTCGCGGTATACTGAGCTTAGGTTAACGGGAGGACACTAGTTTGTGTCCTCCCGTTACCCTAAGGAGAACTATGGGGAAAAGCCCTGACCCCATAGTTCTCCTTTTAAGATGGAAAATACATGTGGTAGGTTTAGACCACTTCACTGTCCAGAGTAGGGATGAGGTTAGGGTTCGCCAGTACTATAAGTTTGAGGTGAATCCTGCAGTTCGGAGATTAGCGGTGTTAAACCATAACGCATTGCATGACCTTTGAACTATAGTTAGCAGGCTTAGAAGGGCCAACAGGGGATCTTTTTAACCCATTTGTGACGGGAGACGTACACTGTACGTCCCGTCACGAAGTGCCTATATGACTGGCCACGTAAACTGTACGTGACAAGTTATTTGAGGCTCTGTGAAGCTGGTAACCCGTGATTCTCACCGGTTACTATTCATTAATGGATGGGTCAGTATTGAGGCATTCATTAATGAAATAGTTAAGCCTTTGTAAAAGATTCTTTCTTTCATGAATAAAAGAATGAAGCCGTTACATACAAATACGGGAGCGCTGAATAGCGATCCGATATTTGACAGCTGAAAAGAGAGCAGAGAGGTAGCAGAGTGAGTGACCTCTCTGCTACGCGTTTTGACAGCTCCATAGACTGGCCCGATGTTTATGAAGCTGTGTGATACATTTCAGGCACAGGAATGTTACAATGTATCTCTGTGCCTGAAATGTATCACTTCTGATCCTCTGGGCACGATCAGAAACCTTTAGTGAGATCTGATTCTGACACGCTGTCAGGATCAGTCTCTAAGGTTATTATTATCTGTTCCTAGGTTTGGAGCAGCCTAAAAATAACCAAAAATTGAAAAAAAAAGTTAATTTATCAAGAAGCCATAGTGACTGCTTGATATAAACTGACAAAAATAAAGTGTAAAAAAAATTAAGAAAATAAAAATTGTATATAAATATATTTTTATACTATAATTATTATTAAAAAAATTCTAAAAAATAATAATCAAAACTTGTGAAAAAAGTGTTTGCTTTATGTTTTTTCCTAATTTTTGTAATATTTTAGTAAAACGTTAGGTACACATGTTTGATATAATTATATCGACCTATCTGTCCTCTAAAAAACAATATATAATATGTGCGGGTACATTTAGTAAGAAAGTATATTACTACTGTGGAAGAATCACACGGCAAAAATGTTAAAAGTGTGTCAGTCATTTATGAACAGAAGCCAGAAAGGAGCTCAGTCATGAAGGGGTTAATAAGCCAGCCTTCGCACTATACTGAGGGTGTACGGAACGGCCATGGTGTCAGTCCATTGGAAGCTGTTGCAGGGAAAGCTGATGAACTGTATAGGGAGAGATTTGGGTCAGTTAGGAAACTAATGTAATTCTGATTGCTAGCTCCTTGGGACATCAGCCCCTTTGCTGCCTTTTTTCATTTTTATTAATGAGACCCTTATTGTATTTTATGTTGTCGGTCGGTTTGAAGTCATCCGTCACTTTTAGCTGCTGCCCCGTCCATAGCAAACTTTTTTTTTTTCTCCTTTCTTGCTTCAACTCTTCCCTTCTCAAAACATTCCTATTTGTTTCAGGGGTTGTATTTGGAGATTTGAATTTATTTTGTGAGTTTTTGCATTTTATTTTAATGTTTTTATGACCTTTTTTTAAGATTTGGATTGCTCAAAGCAGAGGCTTCATTTTACAATAACCATCTGTTCTTGGAGCTGCCTTTTGTATACAGTATGCCACTGCATTGTTTGAAAGGGGGGACAAAAATTGCAAGAACAATGTGCACATAAAACACCTCACATTATACCACTCACATTAAAGGCATCTCCACCCCCATCCCCATATGTAAAATAAAAGTTAGGCATGCACCAGTTAGGCCTATCATCCTTAAAGGAGAACTATGGGGTTAAGGCTTTTCCCCATAGTTCTCCTTAGGGTAACGGGAGGACACAAACTAGCGTCCTCCCGTCACCCAAGGCTCTGTATATAGGGAGCTACTGCTCGCGGTATACTGAGACGCCGCAGCTGAAGCGGATCCCCGACAATTATCCCGGTATCCGCCCAGCTGCGTGACTGACAGCTGGCTCTGCCTATCTAGAGGCAGAGCCAGCTGTACCCACCTCCTCCCCCGTCCGTTCCGCCAGTTAGCGCTGGAGGATCGGAGCGGGGGAGGGGGAATCCAGCCCCTCCCCTGTCACGGCAGAGAGCCGTGAAAGGATCGAGAGGTGAGCGAACGCTGGTATGTGTTCGCTTACCTCCCGATCTACTGAGCCGACCTGTGACAGTCTCATTGTCACAGGTCGGCTAGAACTATGAGGTGAGTGAAAAGCCTTCGCCTCATAGTTCTCCTTTAATTAAAACTGTTCCGCTGCTTCCCACTTTTACACTTCTGTATCTTCTGCAGTATCTTGTAACACTTGTAGTACAACTCTAGCCTATGCTCTTTGTTTTTAGTAAATTTGGGCCTAGCTTTTCTCAGTAAAACTATCCTGTTGCTGGAAAGTTTTAATGCTACAGTATTATCTTCTCTTCTTTGCCTGTACTGTTTGTCATTAGTACATTTTGGCCTAATAACCATAATTACTGTACATCCATCCTGCTATTGGCTAATATTATACTGCTGTGTCTTTCGCAGTATTGACCAACAGCAGGCAACAACTGGTTCACCCAAAAGACCCAATCCAAAACACAAGATGAACAACATTGTGTATGCAGTTCAGTGAGGAGTGCTCAGAATTCTATGTCGGTGAAACAAAACAGCATCTACACCAGCTTATGGCACAGCATAGAAGAGCCAAACCCTCTGGTCAGGATTCAGCAGTGTACCTACATCTAAAGGAAAAAGGTCACTCCTTTGAAGACAGTCTAGTACGCATCCTAGACAGGGAGGAGGACCAAAAGAGGTGTGAAAGAGGCCATTTATGTAAAAAAGGAGAAGCCGAGCTTGAATAGAGGTGGGTGGGCGTGTGGGGCGGGGGGTGTGAGACATCTATTGTCTGCCACATACAATGCTGTATTAACACCTCTCTCTGGGCAGGTTAATAACACCTCCTAGACTCCAATTATGCAAATGCCATCCACACCTGGTTGTGTCTAACAGATTATGTGGATCGGAACATCACCATATTTATTCCCAGATAATTTTTTGTACAAGTCATTCTGAATTGAGGAAGCCGGTCGGATGACCAGTGAAACGTCTTCAAGAAAAATACAGCAAGTCCAGTTGCCTTGACTTATTTTTTACAGATATAACAGCAGGACAGTTTTGCAGCAGTGAAAACAGGGACAGCCGCGGTGAACTACTGCCATATTTCTATCTGCCAGTCAAAGCGGGTCTGTTACTGTTTGATAAAAAGCACATGTCACTGCAATAATATCTAAAAAAAATCCAACCTGAAAGAAATCAGATTGGGATGCTTCTTCTGTATGTAAACCAAGGTAATTATAAAAGAAAAAGATCAAAACATTTTGTTGCCGAGTCTGTCTGTAATAATGCCGGTGCTCCATAACACCACATACAACTGTAAGGCATCCCCCAGGCATTTAATTTACATAATGTGTGTATTTTACATGTTGTTTCCCATGGCAGTGCCCAGCTTCCAATACATTTGTTGACAGTAGTTCACCTATTATCCAAAACAATGGCCAGAATTCAACTCCAACCCCGCGCCAACCCACCCTTCCATTGATTTCAGTGGAATTTACATCTATGTTTGGGTTTGCCAGACTTTAAACAAGAATTGCAGAATCCTTAGTGAGTCATTCTCCAAAAGAAAATGCTCCTCAGTGCCAGCATGATCTCTCTGCTCTTCAAACTGTAAATCATTGGGTTGAACATTGGTGTAAACACTGTGTATATTAAAGCAATAACCTTGTTAGCATTTAAGGAATGACCTTTAGATGGAAACACATACAGTCCAAGCTGTGCCCCGTAGAATGAAGAAACAACCGTCAAGTGGGAGCTGCAAGTGGAGAAGGCTTTCTGCCTTCTGATGGTGGAAGAGACGGAGAGAATGCTGTGAAGAATGCAAATATATGTGCCAACAATAAAGAGGAGTGGTACAAAAGCTATTGGAATGGAAACCAGAAGAATTACTGTTTCAACAAGATAGGTATCTGAGCAAGAAAGTTCAATGAGAGGCACGAAGTCACAGAAGAAATGATTGATGGTGTTAGGCCCACAGAAATATAGGCTGAACACAAGAGTTCCTGTGGTGGAGACCAGGACTAGACCCAGCAACCAGGACCACAAAACTAGGCAGAGGCACAGTCGAAGGTTCATGATAGAACCATAATGCAATGGGTTGCATATGGCCACATACCGGTCATAAGACATGGCTGTAAGGAGGAAGGACTCGGCCACACTTGACACACCAAAGAGGAAAAACTGGGTGACACATCCAGCATAAGACATGGTGCCTCCTGCTGACAGCAACAGATAAAGCAAGTTTGGAAGAACACTTGTAATGACCAAAAGATCAGAAAGGGAGAGAAAGGTGAGAAAAACATACATGGGAGAATGAAGCTTATGCTCAACTGCAACTGCCACGATCAAAAGGAGGTTCCCAAGCACCGTAGCCAAGTAGATGATCAGAAAGAAAAAGAATGATATAAACTTTGCACTATGGAGCTCCCCAAATCCTAGAAGGTAGAATTCTGTAACTGGAGTATGATTCTTCTCACTCTTGGAAATGTCAAAGGGATGACTTCTTCTTGATGAGAACATCTGGGGAAATACATAAATACTGTATGAACTATCACAGACCAATCTGTGACATGGCAAATTTATCTTCTATGAAAATGAAAGACTAAATACCAACAAGTGCAAAAAAATTGCTGTTGGTTTCATGCAGCCAGGTCCAGTGGGTATGTGCTGGAGCGAAATGGTCTGTAGCACAATATACCAGACCTGATTGATGTATTTGTGAAATTAGCATTTCCTGTGAGGTCCGATGACCCCCTTGAAGCAGGGCAGAGCTGAATCAGCTCTGCTTTGCCTCTAACAACACCAACAGATCTCTTCAATAGCTTGCTGATGGAAGCCACCCCTAAATTTAGGGGAGGGCTGTGAACCTTTAATCTGGAGTGCAAACACAACCAGCTAGCCCTTTCAATCGCTGGGCATGGATTGATGGGCATGGTAAAAAGTGGGTGTTCCTAAAAGACGGATTAATATGACACACCATCACATCTTCCAGCATCAGCCTCCTTTATGGCTCTTGGCATTCTATCTCATAACTGTCACGTACCTGGTTGGAGACTGAATGCGTGAGGAGGCCTCCCTTGCACCTCGTGTCCCGAGGACTCTGAGGTTGGGGATAGAGTCCAAGTGGACAGCGAGTGGCACGAGTGCCAGTGGTGATAATACCGTGCAAGCTGAAATCCAAGGGCTTTGATAGGCGAAATCCAAGTAAACGAGCCAAGGTCAAAACCAATCGAGCGATAACGGTACAGAGGGGTCAGGCAGAAGCAAAGGCCAGTTAACAAATCCGAGGTCGAGTTTCTCCACAACACACTATAGAAGCACAGATGTTGATGTAGGGAAGCATTGGAGAAGCTGGATCCGGTCCTCTGATCTGATCCATCCCTCCTTGAAGAAAGCCTAACACATATGAATAAAAAAAAATAACCTCCTACCTTTATTAACCTTTTAGTCCCAACATATTGGATGCTGCCACTGGCATGCGGGCTTATTCATTTGGCATTTTTATGATCACAGGCCCGTGAATTCATCAGTGTCTCACCAGTTCCTATCTGGTCAAGCTTGACTCTTCTTACCTAAGCTCTATACTAACGCTTAAAACTAGCTCCAGGCAGGTATTGAGGGAACAGATTAACACAACTCTGTAATCTGCAATACATTACTAAGGGGGCTATTCACGAAAGGGAGAAGAGTTTGGAGAAGGCAGGAGAAGTGAACAGTCTAGGACAGCGGTGGCGAACCTATGGCACGTGTGCCAGAGTGGGCACGTGGGGCCCCCTCTGCTGGCACGCGAGCCCAGGTCCGCATTACCAAAGGGACAGCAGAAGAGAGGGGACTACTTTACCATTTACGGCTGTTTTGCCCCCCTTCCCCGCAGCAATAATAAATTATTATTGCTGCGGGGAAGACAAGGTTTCTAGTTACGTCTCTGCTGTGTAGTGCTGACTTTCATTGTAATGTATTGCTGGGACTTGTAGTCCCGCATAGCTGGTGGTATTCTGCAATGCTGTATGATAATTATACATCAATACAGAATAGAGCCCATATAAACCACCTGAAAGGCCTTATAGACCACCCGAGAGCCACACTGCCCCCCAGAGAGCCACACAGCCCCCCAGAGAGCCCATACATACCACCTGAGGGACCACAGAGCCCACCCAAAAGTCATAATAGACCGCCTGAGAGCTGCACAGGTCCCCTGAGAGCCTGTACAGACCACCAAAAACCCAACAGAGCCCACCTGAGAGCCGCACAGCCCCCTGAGAGCCCGTACAGACCACCTCAGAACTGCAGAGCCCCCCCTGATAATATTCAGGTCTAATTGAAGGGTTGGCACTTTGAGATACATAAGTTGGTTTAGTGATCCAGTTTGGGCACTCCGGCTCAAAAAGGTTCGCCATCACTGGTCTAGGACAACATCGCTGAAATAGAAAGTGAGCTACACAGTTACATAGTATTTGAGGTTGAATAAAGACACAAGTCCAACAAATCCAAGCTGAATTGGAGAATTATTCCAAAACAACTATTTTGTCCGACATTGTTCACTTCTCCGGCCTTCTCCAAACTCTTCACCCTTTAGTGAATAACCCCCCAAATGTATGTTTTTAAATACAAGTGGAGTAAGTACCTGAATGTGACCTGGTGTCAGCCTCTGGATGCCCCTGTACAGGAGGGATGGAGTGTGAATGGAAGCAGCAGCACAAAGAGCCAATCAAGAAGTATGCTGATAGTAGAAAAAGAGAGCTCTGGATGTCAGAGATGAGCTCATCAATGTGCTACTTCTCCTTTCACTGTCCAGTCACAGGCTGTGGTCGGGTCCAGGATGCCCTGGTTCAAAGGAAGTAGGTTGAATGATGCTGGCCATCAGACTGAGACCATCAAGTGGGTGAAAAAAGTACAGCGGGGGGAAATCTCTGGATTGAAGCTGAATATTGCAGCACAACCTGCGAGTATACACACCAGCCGAGTGATACACAAATAAAATACATTTGAATTAATAGTTAAAGGAGAACTATGAGGTCAGGGTTTTCCCCATAGTTCTCCTAAGGGTCACGGGAGAACACAAACTAGCGTCCTCCCATCACCCAGAGCTCAGTATATAGCGGGCTACAGCTTGCGGTATACTGAGACCGCCGCAGCCGGGACGGATCCCGACATTGCTGTCGAGATCCACCCAGCTGTGGGATTGACAGCTGGCTCTGCCTATCAAGAGGCAGAGCCAGGTGTGCCCGCCCCCTCCCCCATCTGTTCCACCAATCAGCGCTAGAGGATCGGACAGGGGAGGGACTCCCTGCAGGGAGCCGTGAGTGACAGTCACGGCTCTCTGGAGGGATAGATCGAGAAGTGAGCGAGCGACGGTATGTGTTCACTCACTTCCCGATCTATTGAGCCGACCTGTGACAGTTTCATTGTAAATCACTCGCCTCATAATTCTCCTTTAAAGGATAACTATGGGGTTAAGGCTTTTCCCCATAGTTCTCCCATAGTTCTCCTTAGGGTAACGGGAGGACACAAACTAGCATCCTCCCGTTACCCTAAGCTCAGTATATAGAGAGCACAGCCGGAGCGGATCACGACTTACATGACGGGATCCGCCCAGCTGCGTGAGTGACAGCTGGCTCTGCCTATCTAGAGGCAGCTGTACCCGCCCCCTCCCCCGTCCGTTCCGCCAGTCAGCGCTGGCAGATCGGAGCAGGGAGGGGGGAATACAGCCCCTCCCCCTGTCACGGTATGTGTTCCCTCACTTCCCGATCTACTGAGCCGACCTGTGACAGTCTCATTGTCACACGTCGGCTAGAACTATGAGGTGATTGAAAAGCACTCACCACATAATTCTCCTTTAAGGTACTTGAATGCATTTTTAAGACCTAGTTCCTGAGTTTATTGTGACTTTAATTCAAAAGCATTTGTGAGTTCAGGTTAAAAAAAAAAAAACATGTATAGCACACAGGTTTAGCAGCTACCATTGAGCCTGATACCAAGAAGAAGTCCATCAAGTAAAACAAAAGCAAAAAGAAAAATATAAATTGAATGTAAAAAAGGAAAATGTGTTCTTCTTCTTTCCAAGTAAAAGATTTTAGTAATTAGCTAAAGAGGGAGTATGACAGATTGGTCAACCTGAGTCTTTAATACACAGAGAGTACTATATACTGAAACATCGGCTTATATATTTGTTCTCCCTCCCAGGTGATTTGTTTTTTCTTTTTCTGTTGCTACCTTATTACAACCAATGTATAAAGTAAATGTGTTTAGTCTGTAGACACGAGATCTCTGGGGAGGTGATGATTCAAGGTGATTAACGAACGCCACCTGGATTTGTTTATCCTTTTTTTTAATTAAACCAGCAATTAGGCCTCTGAATTCTATGGTTAGAGAATATTATAGTTATAGAATTCTATGAGGTTGATTTTCTAAAGGCAAATCGGCTGTTTACTTTGTAAGAGAATTTGCACTTTGCACTTTGCACTTTGTGTTCCCTTAGCTTGGCCAATGTGATGAAACGTCACTTTGCAATGAATATCCAACCGTGTGCAAGGAAAACGGTATTTTTGCTTGCACATGATTGGATGATGGAAATCAGCAGATCTTCACCTCATTCAGGAAACTAAGGGTAAACTTCCCCTGAAAAGGGCAGATTCTCTTGCATCAGGCTCTTTGTCTCTAGTAAATCAACCCCTATGTATCTATTATCTACTTTTCCCTTGAGATTGTTAACACAACTATCCAACCCTCCCACCATGCCAAGGTCCTATGTGTCATCCTCGACTCGGACCTCACATTTCTTCCACACATCCAATCACTATCCAAATCCTGCCGCCTTCACCTTCGTAACATCTCCAAAATACGCCCCTTCCTCACCAATGACACCGCAATATTACTCATCCACTCCCTTGTTATCTCTCGTCTTGACTATTGCAACTCCCTCCTCACTGGCCGACCTCTACACAGGCTACTCCCCCCTTCAGTCTATCATGAATGCAGCTGCTAGACTCATTCACCTGAACAACCACTCAGTGTGTGGCTATATCTCAAACCTTGTCTCAAAGTATCACCCTAACTGTCCCCTCCACTCCTCCCAAGACCTCCTGCTTTCCAGCTCCCTCATCAACTCCTCCCTGTTGGCGCTATATAAATCCTGTATAATAATAATAATAATACTATCTACACAATATGGCCAACAGTTTATGGACACCTGATCGTCACACCTGTACTATATGGGCAAATGTATCTGGACACCACTCCATACGATTGAGTTCAGGTGTTTCCAGTGAAGGGTGCTGTTAAGCTTGCATCATACAAAGACATTTTAGACAATTGTGTGTTTCCAAACCTCTGGCAACAGTTGGTGAAGGCCTTTTTCTGTTCCAGCATGACTGTGCCCCTGTGCACAAAACCAGCTCTGTAAAGACATGGTTTGAAGAGTTTGGTGTGGAGGAACTGGAGTGGCCTGTACAAAGCCCTGACCGAAACCCCAACTCTGAATTCCTTTGGGATGAATTTGAATGTCAATTGTGAGTCAGGTCTTTTCATCCAACATTGGTACCTGACCTCACAAACGTGCTTTTGGGTGAATTTGCACAAATTCCAAAAGGCACACCCCAAAATCTTGTGGAAAGCCTTCCTAAAAGAGTGCAGAATGTTATAGCCACAAAGAGGTGGCCAACTCCATATTAATGACCATTGTTTTGGATGTCCAATGTTCAAGTGTCCACAAACGTTTAGCCATTTCATATATTTATCGATATCGCTATCTAGTTATCTATCTCCATTTAAACAAAGCTGTGGATCTTTATTTGGAGGAGGGCTGTAGCTTTAGGACCCCCAAATAGTTTTCCATCTCTGATTCCCCCAGTGGAACACATATTAATGAGTAGTGTGCATGTGTATTTTTAACTCCAACATGCATAATTTTACTTATAGGTACATAGTTATATAGTATTTGAGGTTAAATAAAGACACAGGTCCATCAAGTTCAACCTATTGCATGCATATGTCCAACACACAAATGCATAGCTTTACATTTTTCAATATTAAACCTTATCTGCCATGTGGTTGCCCACCCCTTATTTTGTCAGGGTCTTCCTGTAACGCTGCTATTTCTTGGGTCGAGTTTATTGCCCTAACAATTTTGATATCACCAACACTGAAACAGGGCTATTGATGCCAACCTCAATATTATTAAAAGACAGGTTAAACAGCTTTGGCCCTAAGACAGAACCCTGTGGCATGCCATTTCCAATCCTGGACCATTTAGAAAATGAGCCATTTAGAGATACTCTCTGGGCACATTCCTGTAGCCATATGTGTCTCTGCAGACTAACACTCTCCCATCTTCTGTGTTTGCACCATGCTGCCATACCTTTTGTATCTCTGTGGCCTGTCACTCTCCCCTCTCTTGTGTCTCTGCATCAAGCCCCAATGTCTCTGCAGCCTGTCCACCTTGCCTCTTCTGTGTCTCTGCAGCCTGTCACCATTGCCTCACCTGTGTCTCTGCAGCCCACCACTCTCCCATCTTCTGTGTTTCTGAACCCTGCCACCATACCCTCTGTATCTCTGCAGCCTGTCACTCTCCCCTCTTCCATGTGTCTCTGCATCAAGACACAATAGCCTCTTATATGTCTCCGCAGCCTGTCACCATTGCCTCACCTGTACCTCTGCAGCCTACCACTCTCCCATCGTCTGTGTTTCTGAACCCTGCCACCATACCCTCTGTATCTCTGCAGCCTGTCACTCTCCCCTCTTCCATATGTCTCTGCATGAAGACACAATAGCCTCTTATATGTCACCGCTGCCTGTCACCATTGCCTCACCTGTGTCTCTGCAGCCTACCACTCTCCCATCGTCTGTGTTTCTGAACCCTGCCACCATACCCTCTGTATCTCTGCAGCCTGTCACTCTCCCCTCTTCCATGTGTCTCTGCATCAAGACACAATAGCCTCTTATATGTCTCCGCAGCCTGTCACCATTGCCTCTCCTGTGTCTCTGCAGCCCACCACTCTCCTGTCTCCTGCATTTCTGCACTCTGTGTAGTAAAGTAAACACACTTTAAATGAACAAAAATGCTAAACAATATCTATATCGTATCAGCAATCTTTCACAGCCATTATTGTTGTAGCAGCCTGTTGAAATAAGAGAACAAGGTAAAAGCAAAGCACACATGAAAGCTTTATTGGCATATTAGAAAACATTCAGCTTTTTCAGTGGCCTATAAAAATCAGAACAGATCCTCTGCTCACTTGAACTTTGTCCACCAGTTTGCCACATTTGCAGTTTGCCGAGCATGGATATATGCCAAGCTGGCAGAGTTTGACTAAATGAAAAAAGGGATGAAAAAAAGATTATCCAAAAATAATGGGATCATTCTCACCCAGATTACTTGTCCCTTTCAGAACCTTACAGCTCCCCTCACATGAGACAATTGGGAACCAGTTTCAATTACTTATAAAAAGCAGCCCTTGAAACTGTGTTTGTCTTAGACAACCCAAAAGTCTCCAAACCCAAGCCAATGCAACTCCTTTGCCAGATCTTCCTTTAGAGGCTCGATGTCTCCCATAGATCTCTGGGCTTTTGTAGTTTGCAACCAAGCATCTATAAGACAAGCAGTCTCCAGCTCTCCATAAGTGACTTGTTTAGTAGGATCAAATATCAAAAATATTGTGGCATTGTGTGGCAATACCACGGTGTTGGGTGGCCTCAAAGTCACCCAGGGTTCTCTTTTCGCTCCTTTCCTTGTTTTCTGGATCATAGTTAGGATCCTGGAGCCAGGGGATTTCTTAGAGCTCTGGGTGGGACGAAATCTCCAGTCCTGGGTCCATGGGTTAGTAGTGACCAGCACCTGATTGTGGACCTGTGCACATCCCTCATGAAGAGTGTGCTGGGATGTGTTCAGGGCCCCACCTGGGAGACAGTAGAGCTCCACCCTGGAGTCAGCGTGGAGGCCAGTGCAGCGGAGTGCTGCGGGTTTGTGAAGCCTGTTGTGAGGATTGGCATGTTATTGAGGTTGTCTGGGGGAACCAGACAGTGGTCCTGAAGACTGAGGCCGGAGCAGCAGTGCTGCAAGAGAGACTTATTAAAAGACTAGGACACCGTGAGTGTATGGGACAACTCGAGGATTGGCAAGCCCGTGTCTGTTATATGCTGCAGCAAGCTATTTTATGTTGGACTTCTTCATTATCTGCCTTTTGAAAGAAAAATAAAGACTTTTTGTTAATGGAAAAGCCTGTGTGAGTGCCCTGTGAGCTCCCCAACAATACAATATGTATTAAAAGACAAAAAAACGTGCGCTTCTGGAAGAAGGAAAAACAAGAAAAACCGGACTAGCTAGAAGCTGCTGCAAATCAGGCGGTAAGCCCTTTAATTAATCAACAGTGTAGCGCTAAAAGCCTCACAGTGTTAGACCCAAATATATAGATAATGTTTATACATAAAACATATGCAGTTGTGAAACTTTGTGAGTGAAAACTATATACAAATAGATTTCTGATGATTGTGTGTGTCTAAATAAAAACCATAATTATAAACGTCTCTGTGAAAAAATGTATAAATAAAAAACGAATGAAGTGTCTCCAATGTTTCACCCGATGTATATAGTTTTCACTCACAAAGTTTTACAACTGCATACGTTTTATGTATAAACATTATCTATATATTTGGGTCTAACACTGTGAGGCTTTTAGCGCTACACTGTTGATTAATGAATACAATATGTATTACTTCAACATAAAAAACAATATTTGTATAAAAAAAGGTTTTTTTATTTGTGTTAGTAGTGCTCATACAGATCTATTACCCTATGATATCAGGAAGAGATTTGCCCCTGTGTGATCCGCCTTTTTCATTACAATTTCTTTAATTTAAACTTTAGGTTTCTGGTTGCCAATAATCCCCTAAGCGCTTGACAACACCTGAGACCTAATCTCCTCAGTGCCGTTTGAATTTCTGCATTTCTCAGGCTGTATATGATAGGGTTAAGCAGTGGCATGCCCATGGTGTTCAGAAGAGATAAAGCTTTATTCCTATTCAAAGAATAATTTTTGGCAGAGGACAGATAGACAACAGTGAGGGACCCGTAGAAGAGACAGACGATGGAGAGGTGAGAGCTACAAGTGTAGAAGGCTTTTTGTCTCCCCGAGACTGAGGAGATCTTGAGAATGGAGAGGATGATACACACGTAAGTCACACAAATGAAGAAGAATGGAACAGAAACCAAGACAAAAGAAAAAATATTGGAATGAATCTCCAGAACCAAGACTTCAGAACAGGAGAGGTCCAACAAAGGGTAGAAATCACAAAAGTAATAGTCAATGACGTTAGAATCACAGAATGCCAGCTGGGAAATTCTGATTGCAAAGTTCAATGTTATGAGAAAGCCTGACCACCAAGAGAAAAGTGCCAACTGGTACTGAAGTCGTTTGTTCATAATCAAGGAATAGTGCAATGGTTTGCAGATAGCAATGTATCGGTCGTAGGACATCATCCCTAACAGGATAGCACTTACTGCCATTGACTCTCCATAGATCTGAAACTGGGTGAGACAAGCGGTGAGAGTTATGGAACCACCGTCCTTCAAGACCACATCCAGCATGTTGGGCACTATCCCTGTGCAGTATAAAATATCCGATATAGACAAGTTACAAAGGAAAAAGTACATCGATGAGCGAAGACTTGGAGTGACCAACACTAAGACGATGGTCAACACATTTCCTGCTAATATAATCATGTAGATCACAAGGAAGGCGCTGAAAAGCAAAAATCTGAAATTCGTCAATCCTCTAAAGCCGACAAGAATAAAATTGGTGATCGTGGTTGAGTTTGTGATGGACATCCTTGTCTGCAATACTGGGAAAAAAAAGATAAATCATGGAGATTTTTATCCTCAGGCATTTCATATGTATTTTAGAATAGCAGGTGTTGTTTTGCACCCACACATGGACCATTTTAATATTTTTAAAACAATATGCAGTGTATTGGATGTGGTTAAGTGACTATGATAAAATGCCTATTTCAATATATTGTAATATATATATAT